CAAAGTCTGAGATCCAGAATAATCAGGACTTCAGCAATTCTGGATTTTGAAAACTTCCTAGTTTTAGATGATCGGTTTAAATGCAGTAAAGATGAAGAAGAGGAAATGTTTAGTTCAGACAGAAAATTACCAACCCCCCACAACCATTTAACAGCCGAAAGTGTGAATGTGGACAATAACACGTCAATCAATGCATTGTAATTTGCCACGGTGCAAATCACTAGCCAGCAGGTGTTTGAAAATTACAAGCAGAAATCTCAGCCTGTCTGACAAATCATATTTGTAGCACATCTGCCCCTTTTTGTTGAAATATTCTCCCTTTCTCTTGCTGTTTGTTGTTGTCACACCTCTCACTTGTCTGACAGTAACATCAGAAGTAGCCCACAGAATTCATTGTGGTAAGGAGTGCAAGACTGCACCTGTCATTGGAAAGATTCTTGAGCACCTTACAGGTCACGGTATGACTTCGCTCAGTTCCATCCAATTTTGATGAAGAGCAGCCTGGGTGGAAAGGTCCGAGGGTTTCCCATCCGTCTTTCCCTACCACCAGCTCTCGAGAAGACTTTCAGCTCACAGCATATTTACAGTACCCCCATGTTGCATAGACACTATTCATTTATAAGCATCCACGCATTCTCCGAAATTCAAATTTGGGCCTTTCGATTGGGAAATCAGCATCGCTAACCACTATCCCTATTGGGCAGCTCTCCATTTCTAGACTTCATATCGGAAGGGAGGTCAATGCTGGAAGTCCAGATCAGAGATCATTCTGGTTACTGGATGTTCGAATTTTGGACTTGGTACTGTAGTAGTTAAACAGCAAGAAATAATATATTTTAATTAAAGAAATATGATACTTAAACATGTATCTAAGTGCATTTTTTAAAATTCATTTACTAGTTTCAAGTCAGCAATAACTACAAAACAATAAAAATGTACACATATAATAATCACTATTTGTGAATTCTAGTTTTAAATTTCAAATGGACAACATAAAATAAATAAATACAGCTACAATGGCAAACAGAAAATTAACAGCACTCTTCTCCATAGTAATTATAAATCAGTTTAATTTAATTTTATTAGTTTCAGGAAAATAGAAAACATCATTTAAATTATTTGCAAAATATTTAAAATCAATGATGAAGTTTGCGAGAACATATAGAATCAGACATGATCACCCAAATGATTAAGAACATTTAATTTTCATTTCATATTATGCATTAAAAAAAAAACCTTCACACATATTACTTTACAAAATTATGGCAATTTTAACAGAACACTTTATTTACCAACATTCCCGATAATTAAATACAGTTTCATAAAAACTTGCTAAACAGATATTACTCCTCCTATCTAAGTATTTTTAATACAGTAACACAAATACAATTTTAAACCTACTATAAAAATAACTTTTAAAATCAGTACCTTTCATGTAGCCTCCAAAAGTAAGCTTTAAGGGAAAAAAGAAAGAAGACTATAAACTCAAGCTACAATAAAGACTAATGAAGATATTCATTAAAAATTATAAGATTCTTTGGGGAGTGAAGAATATTCTCAAATAAATTATTTATGTCTCTCGTATAAGCTACAACAATTACTATATAGCAAGATTAGCAGTATACCACAAGTAAGGAAAAGCTGTAAAAATCTTCTGCACTTAATACAGAAAGCATATTCAGAAAGTGGTATCCATTTGGTAAAAAGGTTGACTGAATGAAAGCTTTTTCTTTTGAAACTGCATGCCTTGGATCAAGTTAGGTTAATTAATTAAGGCAAAGAAAATCAAGGGCTATCTGCCTATGGGAAGGAATGCCTTCATGAAGGACTTTCTAAGGGAACTGGCTTGTATGTTACACATGGAAAAAAACCATGAAAATCCCAATGCCAATAGCCTATTTGATGGAATTTAAACTCAGGCTGAATTACCAATGTTTAGTGACTGAAAATGTCAATACTAACACCCTTTTCGCCAGAATTTGAGCCCAGGCTGAACTATCAATATTTAGCAACCTTACTTTTCCATCACTAGTGAGCCTTAGATTATTACCAAACAGAGGACAAAATGAGACAAGTTTTTATGTCATACATATCTGCCAACAATCTTCTGATGGAAGGTCACTCTGTCTGCAGAAAAATCACCAGGCTATATTCAGTATCACTTTGAATTAGCTAGTTTTCAGGTAAGCTGCAGCTTAGTAGAAGTTATATTTATGGTTGTATAGTTGTAATGGTTGTGTGTCATCCTTATGGCTGTGTGGTTTCTATGAGTAGCCAAAATGAAACAGAAAAATCTAAAATCCACTAAGTGTGAAGTGCCAGCTGTCATTCTGTTTTTTTCACACTAAAAATATTTGGCCAATAAAAACTCACCACAAATTATGGAAATTTATGTGCTAACGTGACAGAAAAATCAAAATAAGATAATAGTGTTGGAAATCTGAGAATAGAAGGGTCAATATCATTTATTACAGTTGAATTTTTGGCATAGTATGGATGAAATCAAGTAACTTGCAAGGATATCACCATTCATGAATTCCATCTAGTTTCCATGGGTGTTGCAATCTATTATGCATACATCATTAAGTACCTAAATTACTATAAATTAAGTGCTGGGCAAGGTGGATGCTATATATGCATATAAAGATAGATAAAAGAGTGAGAAAAGTTGTATTTATATTTCTTACAATAAGTGTAATTGAAGGTGATAACTTTATGCTCTAAAACTTTTTATTGAAGATTCAGGAGCACCTGACTGGCAATCCAAACCTTAATGAAGATACAATTAGTATTATATTGTAAAAGAAGTTGAGTGAAAAAAAATGTTCATATAATTGACGATTAATTCGCTCAAGTTCAAACTGTTTTTTTAAGTGATTAACTATATGAGTATTTTAATAAACAGGGAATGTATTTAAAATAAAACTGATAATGCTTTTAAAAGCTTTGAATTCTATGTTATTGTTGTTGTGAATAAAATCACTTGTCTGACCTCATCATCAGAACCAGCCGACGAAATTTGAATTCTGTACATAACTTGACATAATTCAATCATAATTTAAAAAATAATACTAGAGCTGATTTATTTTATGAAGTTCATGTGGTTTTGAAAAAGGAAATGATTGAATATTTTCTAAATCATCTCTTCCAACATTTTATCTATTACTTTATCTTTCTAATTTATCATTTGATTTACTAAGCTGATCCAGGAAGTAAGTTCTGTTTGCGCATATCTTCCGCATAACTGATAGCACGAAGGTTGCGTATGCATGTTTATATCATTAAACTCGAGAATGAATTAGCCTAGCATTTTGTTTGTTTACATTAATACCTGAAAATACTGCTTGTTGATAATCACGCATAAAATAATCGATCAACCTGCCAGCTGGGATGTAGCAGCCATTATCAAGTTTTCAAATGTGAGAAATGCTCCACCATATGAAATTTATCATCAGATAAGTAAAACATATGAATGTGGAGAAAATGCAATAAGTGAAGATATGATGTAAAAACGGGTTAGGATGTTTAACGAATGAAATAAAAATGCCTGCGATGAAAAGGTAGCGGTTGATCAATAAAGAATTGGTGTGTTGTATCGACGAAAAAGCTCATTCCAATGGGCGATTCCCAATTTCTGTTTTGTCAATATATTTTTTAAACAGTTCATGATCTTGATTACATGAAACTGTGACTACTTGCACTATAAAAAACTGTGTTTGTGGTGGGTACTGAAAACGCTAACAGAGGTTCAAAAACAGAAAATGATGGAAGCAGACTTGGAGTTTTGCAGCATTATGTAACAAAAGGAAATATTTTTCATATTTATGTATTAAGTATTATTTCATATTAAGTATTATCACAGGTGATGAAACATTATTTTTTACAAGACACCTGAAATGAAACAAAACTCACTAGAATAAGGGCATACTGGTCAGACCTCACTTTGTAAGAGATGATGAAATTAAGGTAAACGTCAAAAAGTCGTTCAGGTCTCAGGCAGACAAATTTTTTAAAACAGGTATGTTGCAATTAGTGCCAACATACAACATATGCCTTAATTTACATGGTGAATATGCCAAAAAGCAGTGTAAGGGATGTAGACTTTTCTGTAATAATATACAAAAGAAAACAAATTGATAATCTTTTTTAATAACCAAATGCTGCTAACTTTCTAGATGAGCTTTGTATATATATATAATGATATTAATGGACTAATACACACTGCACTTCTACTTTAGTATTTTTCTTTATTATATGTCAGAATCTTAATATAGTAAACCCACTAGATGAATCAATAATTGCCATTAACATTAATTACCTTCTCTGATCACTTTCTTAGAAGTCCAAAATGAATTGGAATCATGGGTTTACCACGGATTCTTGGAAAAGATTCACTATAATGCTGCCATGACATCACATTTGTTAAATATCAGCTTCATGAAATAATAATAATAATAATAAAAGGGTGAATGATTCTGGTTGATTTGCTGAATTTTTTGGACTTACTTATTTAATTCTGAAGGATGAAATCATTATTTACACTACCTATCTTTTCTTTATTTTTCTGTTGAATTCTTTATTTTCTTCATGATGGTTATATAAATAAATCACTATATTCTAATAAATGAATTTAGTTTTTAAAAAGTATGAATACTACTTAAAATATAACGTTACCTTTTGTACCCCTAAAGGAGTTAAAATGAAGCAAAAGATGCAAAATAATCTGCACTCAAGCAAGTAGTTGTGTAAAGAATCTAACTCTAAGAATCCCCCTAAAAAAATCCTACACTACCAACTTATTTAAAGCAGAAATTTAGAGCAAAATTAATGACATTTAATTTCATCATACCATAGAAAAATAATATTAATTATATATTTCCTGATAGACAGAATGCATAATGCATGGTAGGAGATGATTAAAAAATAATTTTAATAATTTATATGAAATCTGCCATATATTTCATATTAATAAACTTGTATAAGTTAAATAAATGATATACCTTGGTTTGTATCATAGCTATTCTTTGGCGACGCAGTTCTAATGCTATATGAAACAATGAGAAATCTTCATCTAATTTCTAGAAAAATAACACAATTGAATGCTTTGGAAATAACAGAATGACAAAAATTCACACTGCAGATCACTCATTATGAAAAACTGTTAAAAAAGCAACTTACCCCTTGCCTCAGACAGGCCCATACATAGTCAACTGCACATATTGTACCAGTTCTACCACATCCAGCACTAGAAAAAGGGAAAAAAAAAAAAAAATGGCATACATGCTTGCAAATTTTCTATCTTATAACGAAAATAATAATAAAAATTACACATTACATGAAAACATGATAAAAATTATTACACAGTAACATATTCCTCTTAAATAACAAAGTTATTTAACTTGATGTAAACAACATACTCAGTAATTTTTAACTGTTTTCAACATTTTAAAAGTTGGTGGTGTAAACTTACTTTTTTTTTTTCCTTTTAAAGTGCTTTTAATTTCTATTTTATTTTCAGTACTTTAGGTATTGAGATAAGAATACACATATCAAATTAAGGAAAATGGTACAATTACGTTAAGAGCGGCGTTAGTTGAAAATGCACCAACAACTCTTCCAAATATTTTGGCTCAAGAATTCTAGTTTTTGTTTGAAATGTTATCGCTCATTATTTTGAATATTTTTTATTTACAATTAAAATATCGTGTCTCAAGATTTCTAGTTTTCGTTTGAAATATTGCCACTGGTTATTTTTTTGCCCTATTTCGCCATTTTTTTAGTACGATGGATTACACAATTTGGCAGTTACCTAATGACGAACAGGCTGTCATAAGACTCTTTCAGGATAAAGGAATAATTCATACCAATAGACTTGGATGACTCAAACAAAGCACCTATATGGTGTTGTTACATACATTCTTGTTGTGGAAAAAAAAAAAAAGGATTGACAACCAAAACATAGTTTGAAGGCTCACGTCTTACTTTCCTCAATGTCGTTCGTTTCATCTGTCTGTGATGTCAAGAATTGATGTCGACTGAATTTTGTGAACTTCAATTAGAAATGAGCTATAATACGATAGTAGATTGGAATAACTACTTGAGGGGGGTATATACAAATAGTCTGATGTCTCGAAAAAGAATTAAAATCAGTGGAACCAACAAAATCACAAAAATAGATATATCGTAGAATATCTTGATGCTGTCATACTGATCTTAAAACAACAAAACGGACTAGATTACATGAACAAGTCTCTATGAGACATCATTAAGTCTTTTTACAAGAAGGAAAAACAACATTGGACATATTCTTCCAGAACAATAGGTATTCGAGGGTTTTTGTCAGAAAAACAAAGAATGTTTTCTGGTCGTCGTTCCTGATTGTTGTGCTGCGACATTGATGACTGACATTCAAGAAAACATTGCGCATGGCAGCATTATATTGTTAGACTGCTGGAAAGGATATAAGCAAGAAGAACTAAGAAATGCTGGGAATGAACATTTCACTGTGAATCACAGCTATAATTTTGTAGACCCCGAAACTGGATGCCATACCCAAACTGTGGAGCGATTGTGGAACAGTGCTAAATGGAAAAATAAACATGAGCAGAGCACTGCTTGCCACCATTTAGAATCATATTTAACAGAATTCATGTGGCGTCGACTACATTAAAAAACTCAACATTTTTCTGCAATCCTGAATGATATTCATAATTTTGTGCCACCTCTTTACATTGTATTTCATTTTATTTTGGTATTTTTAATTATGTGTTATTCTAAGTTACAAAATTAAAAAGAAAAATTTTCCTTCTTTAAGAATTAACAAAATTTTTTTAAAAATGTATTTTTTCCAGAATTTTTTTAAAAATTCTTTTGAACTCTATTATTATTTTATAATTTACTACTTGGCGATAATTGGCCAGGGGGCGGGAATGGCACACTTTTTAACTGACGCCACTCTAACGGAACAGTATCAAGAAAACATACACAAAATAATTTTTTTTTTTTTTTTTTTTTTTAAATTATAATCACTACTATTTTAATCTTGCAGAAATAAATGTAAGACAAGTTTCGAACTTTCACAAATAAAAGAAATTTATTCATTACAGCATAGTTTATTTTATTATAATTCATTTTATTGAGTGTTTTTTTTTTTTTTTTTTTCTAAATAAAATTTGTATTTACATGGAAACAAGTGGCGGCATTTTGCCATCCATTTTTCCGCATTCTGACAATCCTTGCACCATTTCGAACTTTTCCACCATTATTATATTGAATTAAATATATAAATAACTACATAATGGTTATTAAGTAAACACTACATACTATTATTGCATTTAAGTCTATAAATGAGGCAATAACCTCAACTATACTTTTATCTAACAATGAAAAACATTAAAAGAAACTTCATATTACACATGCATCCTCATGTGTTTAAGAAAGAATGCTACTTAAGCATTGCTTTATTTGCCCCATGAAACTGATGCGCTTATGTTGTGTCAACTCACAAAGAGGCAGACTAGCCAGATTTTAACTGTTTCTGCAGCTACCAAAAATATTTTGTTACCTAATGATGATACATACAAAAAATTTTAATAGTCTCCCATTCCTTAGATTTAAGTTAAACTTTTAGGACACACTTTAATTCATGATTATAAAGTATTCTGGTAAATTATCAAAGAGTCTGAAGACAAATATCTTGATGCTGTCATTCTGATCTTAAACAACAAAACGAACTAGATTACATAAACAAGTCTCTATGAGACATCATTATACAGCATCTGCAGGCAAACTGTTTAAGTCAATGCTCTGATGAAATGTATCAAAATGTGAAGAACTTGATCACTTGTCCATCATATCTTTTGGAGCTTTATATATTCAAATGAAACAAGAAATAAACATAAAAATTGATACACCACAGATATTTTTATTTGTGTAAAAAGGAAACATTATACCTGTTATACCAAAGAGGATTATGTCATACAAGCATGCACAGCCAAATTGTGATTCGCAAGCCACATGCAGCTCTTTGATTCCTAAACTATGGCTCGCAAGTGGCATGTGATGTTTTAACCTCTTAAATTCAACTTTCTTGCAATGAACAGTTTTATTTTTTAAATATATTTTGAAACAGAAATTGTACATACATATGCTTTTCATCAATCAATATTTAATTTCTTAAATTACAAAATGTGCATAATAATTTTAACAATTTCAAATTGATTATTGCTAATCAGAAGAATAATAAACAAAATGGTAGAATGGTAATTTCATTTCTGTGAATTATTTCCATGGGTAAACAGTGGCCTTTAGAGCATCTGGTGGCCAAACAGCAGAAAAGAAAAATTTGAATATCATTCAAAAAATAACCCACTCTTTTTTTTTTTTTTTTCCCCTCAGATTTATTTTACTACAGGCAGTTTTCTATTTAGTTACTCTATGTAGTCCTAGTATATGTAAATGTAATGTCCATTCCTCAGCAAATGGGATCTTTTTTTATATATTTTTCAGCACAGTGTTTACAGTAACACAATGTGGTTAGACTTTTTCCACATATAACACTTTCATGATGATAAGTTAGTAATCTTAAGCAGGGTACTTCAATTATGATTGCCTTCATTAAAATTTTTGGGGAAGAGAGAAGGATGGGTTTCTCCACTACATTGGCAGTGCTTTCATATTTAGTTCAAAGTATTGTAAATACTGATTTTCAAGGTAAACATATTTCATTTCATTAGCAACTCTTTTTTCCCTAATGTTGCATCAAGCTATGAAGGATCCACTGGGTACAAACTTTTCTTTCCTACAAAGCATTTCTCAAAATACAGTATATTGATTCTGGTAAAATTTTATACCTTAGGATATTTCCTCGTATGTTACTCAACGAATTTATAGCTTTCTAGCCAGGCACACATGTCACTTCTTTTTTGTTGTTGTTGACTTTTGCCTGTATGACTTTTGGTCTTCTTGCATGCAAGACAAATGACTTGTATGCCTGACTTTATGAAGATGAATAGCCCAACATATCTGTTTTAGATAAATCATGACAAATTTCAGGCAATGCACTGCACAATTCTTTTGGAATTTTGCCATGTATATTTCCTATTGTAAAGTACCATCTTTAAATTCTTATAGCCACCATACCCCCAGATGCTTGCAGACTACTTCTGAAGTACTCTAAGCACCATACATGAGGGAACTCAAACAGACACTTGCTTTGGACTTAAATTTTCAAGTGCAGGTAATTCAAATATATAGAATCAGCCTAGCCGTTAAGGAAAATAAAGTGTCAATATAAAACATCTTACAGGGAATGTGAAGGATATCTATCAAAACTGATAGAAAAATTTGCAGCTGGCCCAACATCAAACAAGCTTATACTGAAAGGTATGGCATAACTTAATTCTACATAAAAGAAATAAAAATGGAAAAAGTTACATAAATTATGTACAAATGGCAGAATTCTTTCTTTAACTAATACAACACAAAGTCTGAATGGTGACACAATACTGGAATGATCTAAAACAAGGACACCTTTTTTTTTTTTTCTTTTTCTTTTTTGTATGCTTTATGCAATTTGATTTTTTCCCATAACTCCATAGGGAGGTGATTGGAAGCAGAACTTAGGACCTGCAGAGACTGGCATCATGCAACAAAATGTCTGGCATTGGTCCTGAATAAGCCTTAAGTATATGTGGGAATTTATCTATTCAGGTTCAGAAAATATTTTTTTGATGAAAACCACAGCATGCCAATGACTACTATTAAAACACTTCCACTTATTTAAGTCTGACATATAATATTTTAGATCCTGTTAAAATGAGCTTCATGGGACCGAATGTTTAGTTCACTATATCTATTTGATCCTATAAGAAAAATGAAATTTCCCAAATTAAAAACAAATACTGATAAATAACAAAAGAATTGATTAGCATTGTCACATCTATCAAAAGAGATAGATAATAACTATAATTTTAAAAAGAAGCTCACATTAAATGTTTAAATACAATTACTATTTAATGCAGTCATCAAACCCTTTTTCAGTTTCACCTCCTGTTAATGTAATAAATATTACCATATGTTTATACAATAAATTACTTAGAAACAAAGTCATATTTCAGATCTTTCAATTGAAATAAGTATCTCCTTCTACAGTACACATTTAAAATTTCATCATATAGCACGATCTTGTAAGCTCCATATGCTTTGGTTTTCCAAAAACCATGTGTCACATCTATCTTGAATAGCCTTTGTTTAGAATAAAGAAAACAGTGAAGGTGAAGATAACAGTACAGTAAGTAAAAGTGATTTCATTATTCTACTAGGCTAAATGTGACTAATTTTAAGAATGACTTATTTTTCACTTTAAACTTGCAAAAATTCTAAAAACAATTATGAAAAATTTTTTAAAGTTCTAGTTTAAGATATCCACAAAGTTCATTATATCTGATTCTCACAGGTCTAAGGTTCCCTACAGCTGTATAAAATAACAATAGGCATTAGAAATTGGAACTTAAAAAAATTCACTCGCTATATGCAGAATTTTGCTATAAACCAGGCTCACTATAGTGGAGTTCAATTGCATTTTATATAGTTATTCAACTTACACGGCTAAAAAAATTAATAATTATGCCAGTTACAGTTAACTACTGTTTGGCACCAAAGTTATTTTCCAAACAGCAAAACAGATATTCAAATTTATTTCAACACTTTTGTCAAGTTTCATCTTCAGAAGCTATGCTTTCATTTTTCATTAGCTTTTTTAATTTTTAGCAATCTATATTAGTACACCATCAGATGCACTTTACCTGCAATGTATAACAATTGGCACAGTTTCAGATGGTTGGCAATTCCTCATTAATCGCACCAATTCAAGAATAGGATGAACTGAGTCAGGAACACCATGATCAGGCCAAGAAGTATAATGAAACTGATAAACATCTCTCATTTCAGAATCACATTTCACAAGTAATGTCCTCACCATGAAATCTGGACACACTTGAGATGTTTCAATCTAAAATTAGCATCAAAGCATATTTCTAAGGGTTAAAAAACATGTTTATATTTCTAAAACAAGTATTAAGATATATTAACATAAAGTTCAATTTAAAAAGTCAGAATAAATATTGTGAATTAACAAAAAAACTTTATAAAGATGAGTAAAAAAATTCATTCACATTGTTTATTTAAGTTATACTAGCATATGTTATGACAACAGATACTAATATAAAATTAGAAGTAATATCTGGAAGTACTTACTAATTCAATTGATATATTCCCAAAATGCTTAATTTCTCCTTTCACAGGCCAATATGTTTCACATTTAGTCTGCAAAAAAAAAGCATAAAATAGCAATAATTCAAATTACTTTTAATCAGAAAATAACATCTAATTTTGACCATACTATTATGATTAAAACATATCCCAAATGATATATTTAAAATATACACATGCAAAAAATCCCTTGAAAATCTTTTCCAGAAGTTATGACTTTCAACATCTGGCAACAAACAGTCCATATTTCATCTTTTTTTATTGTTGGCAAATAAATTCACTTTTAATGAATAAAGAATTTTCCTTTAAATGATTTGCCAAAATAAATATAATTGAACACAGAAAATGCATTAAATTTTTCTTTTAGTGTTAAAAATGAACCATGCTCTGTCAAGTCGTTCATTTTACCTAATGAGCAATACACTGTTCAATGGTTAGGGATCATCACTTAACAATTAAAAATATTATTGAAAAATTTTCTATATTGCCTGGATCTTATCAAATCCTGTAAAGCAATTCTAAAAGACCATTTAAGTTTATGGCATATCACTTCTGAAGTTGCTTCAAACACCCTGAACATTTTTTCCCCTTCAAAAAAAAACAATATGTTAAAACAGTCCAGAATATGCTTTCTTGCCCTTAAGTGCTCAAAACACATTACTGTTAATGATGAAACATAGATCTATGCATCTGATGAAGAAACAACTAAACAATCAAATGAATGATGCTCAATTGGTTAAACAAGAGGGAAACAAAAAAAAAAAAAAAAAAAAAAAAAGAACTGCACAACAACAGTGAAAAATCAAAGTAAATGCTGAAAGCATTCTTTGAATATCATGGTTTTGTGAATGAATTTCTACGAACTGACAAAACTATTAGCACAGAATATTATTTGAGTGTTTTATGTCATTTAAAGTAATTGACAGAAGAAGACCTGACTTACAGAGGAATAACTCACAGATTTTGTACCATGATAATGCACCTAATCACAAGGTATTACTTTTAGTGAATTTTTGATCAAATATTCAACAAAAAATGCTCTATAAATTCCATTATTCGATTAATTTAGCATCATATGACTTCTTATTTTTATAATTAAAACTGCCACTTTGTGGTCACTATTTTGTATTAGTTGATACAATTAAAGAAAATTCACTACTGCTGTTCTACAGGTTTCATGTAAATGACTTTAAGACATAATCTGAGGATTGTAAAAAATATTGGCATTAAGTGCATTTTAGCCACAAGGAACAGCTTTGAAGAAGACGTAATAAATATTGACTAATAAACTAAAATCTTATGTTTCATAAAATCACATTCCCAATATTTTTTATCACATTTCATCCATTGCACTATCCACAAAAATAAAATGTATATACTTGCATGAAAAAAAGTTACCAAATACCTTTCCAGCTTCTTGCACATTACAAGCCATAACCAAAACCTGGACATCACAAATCCATATCATTCTCCAAAAATCAATTGCTGTGTTTGGAAGAGGACCTTGAGCTGCAATGTATGCAAAAGCACCACTAGCTCCCTGCAATAATAATAATGATTATTTTATTTTTCTTACACTGGAAACAATTTTTATTTGAGGCATTTTGTTTTACTTTATAAGAAATTCTTGAAAATAATGTATAACCCAATTATCTGCATAAAAATATATTCAGTTAATAGCATAATTAAAACATAGAACAATATGCAGCATCTATCAAGATAGACAGATTTAGGGTTTTTTTTTTTTTTTTTTTTATTAAGCATTAAATAGATATTTAAGAATGCTACTTCATCCACAGTTCACATTACTCTAATAGAATTTTAAAATAATAAAAAGCTCCAGAAAATAATGCATTGAATATAATAAACAAGCTGAGAAACAATAATTAATGCATTTATAAGAATCACTCAGGGACAAGATAATCAAAAATAACAAAACTAACGACTGAAGTAACTGTAACAACTAAAAATAAGAAATGGCTAAAAAATGAAAGTAAAAGACATGTTAAATTAAAAAATGTACTGCATATATATGTGTGTGTGTGTGTGTATATATATACACCTTCAGCACACATGCATCGCACACACATATGATTTATCTGTATATAACTTGATGTAAGGAAATAACTTTAAACTGTTGCATGGAATGATGGATTTACAAAACATATGCCCAGTTCAATGCACAATTTATTCCTGCACATTCTTGATACATATCTTCAGTCACATATCAATACTGGTGCGATGAGGACCCCCCACAATTTTACATAACTTATCATATCTTTAAACAATAGATGATACAGCAAAGCAAGAACACACACGCTAACAGAGCATGAGAGAGTAGAAAACGTAAGGGTGTACTCAGCAGTTGAGGCATTTACACATTTAGTCTCTTTGTTTAAATTTTGAATGGTGATTAGATACAAGGCGTCACACTGCAGATGACATACTCCAGATTAATTTTCTTTCATATTTTATATCTCGCATATTCCCCCCTTCAAAGTGAAAAAGGCTTCACAATAGAAAAGCCTTTTTAGAAAAAAGCATTAGAGCTTTCGCAAGTGAATACAAATTTTGCACAATATATACAATACGTATTTTTTCAATAAGAGAGAAACATTTAAGTGTAGTATCATGTGGAGTGCTTCATTTATAAACAATGTACATTTCCGCTATTGCATTTGTATTTTAGTATTAAACAATGTTATAATAATAACAATGGGATTTGATTATAAGAAAAGATTAATTGTTTTCCCTTTATTTATTACTGGAAAAGTTCATTTGGTATACGTCCAGTCTGGATACATCCAACTATCTGGAAAGGTAATATTGATGATGAATACTAAAGACCACTGTATTAGCATAATTTTGAAAAGCATTCCATAATTCTTATAGCAAAATAAAAAAATAATAATAAAGAAAGGTTATTACTTATAGAAAACAATTTAAAAGGTTAATGTTACAATATTTGAAAATGTTTATTTACTTTTTATACTTTTCAAATCAATGCCCTACCCACATAATCCATACTTCAAAAATAGCTTAATTAATAAATATATTGTAATTCTAAAATTTACCTTGATGTAACTGGCATTTATGTAATCTGATCCTGGTACTCCATCAAATTTTGGAAGTACTACTCTGGAAAAATCATCTGAAAATAAAAAAAAGTTATACATAATCAAAATATGATGACCTGGGATAATAGACCATCAGTTTAAATCTGGTAATATGGCATGTAGAAATCATAAAATTAAAAATATGAAACCGTAATTTATGAAATAAAAAGTAATTATGATCTAAAGGGTATCAAAATTTACAAAAATAAAAAGCTTAATATTTATTTGTTTACTTTATTAAACATTTCTTTCAACATGTGCATGCGTAAAGCATACATTACACATAGTAAAAATTAGAAAATTGCAACCTTGATGTGTATTCGTGATATTTATAAAGACGAGGAATTTGATTTAAATCATATCAAAGACGGAGTACATCGAGATGAAATACTACATTTAGTAAGGAATTATATGCTGAATAAAATAAACACATCTGCCCTGAAGATAAGGATAGTGCTGACAGATCAACTTCCAGTTCATTGCGCACCGCGACGTTTCACCCCTCCACAGAGCAGCGTGAAATTTATAAACAGATTTCGGAATGGTTAGAGAAACAAAGGATATGCCTTTATCCATTTTTTGCAGCAATTCCACTTTTTTTTTATGGACATCGAAACATGCTTTCGCTTTGTAGATCTTTTGGCAGCTCCAGAATCGGAAATTCTTTTTGACATAATCGAAAGTACAAGCTTACTTTTATAAAATTGCTCTAACAGTCTGCAAAAAATAATAAGCCGGATCCAATTCGAAGATTAAGGAACAACGCAATCTGCAACATTAACAGAAATAGATAATTAGATAATTTTAGCTTAGCTTATACCGTCCGTTATACATTAAACGCACATCTGTAAACGTGTTATGCACATACACAGAAAGTTTTCACACAGAAAGTACAGAAAGCACAGAAAGATTGAGGTTCGAATTATAGATGATTTCGGATTATGGACGTCCGGATTAAGGCTTTTGACTGTATTAAGATTTCAGAGTATTTCGCCTGACATCTAAACCCAAAGCCATTTCAGTAAAACATTTCTTTCTCCAATTTCTTGAAGCAACCAATTTCATTTCTATTTTGATGTTAACCTATTTTCTTTACTTCTAGTTTGAGATTTTCATTTATGCAGAGAACACAATACCATACTTGTAAGTCTACATTAACATGAGAACCTCTGCCCAAAATTATACTGACTTGCAACAGGATACAGTACAAAAAAGGAGCTCTTCAGGCAAGCCTCCTAATGGCTAACAACAGAAAGGAATGTGAGTGGTAATTGACAGCAGCAACCTGATTTTCTTCAGCCCCGTTGTTACTGAGAGAAGGAATGGGATAAATTGGAATTATGAAAATAATAACAGCTGTCATCAAATTTGTTATACACGTTCCCAGAAATAATGTCACAAAGGAAAATAGACAAACATTACAAATTAGAATATCATTACAAATCTTTCAACAGAACAGAAAAGCACGTGTCCATTCATAAATATATACTATAAATACAATAATATAGTAATTAAAATATACATACATTGTTTGCACTGTGTATACAACATTCAAAATTATCACAGTCTAGCTGTTAACAAACTACTACATTATTTCAAAGATAATATTCTCCTTGATCAGCAGAAATCTTTCACTGATTTAAAAAAAAAAAAAAGAAAAAAGAAAAAGAAGAGAGAGAGGTTATGGAATTATATGGAATGGTGAATAACTGGGAGTCGACTCAGCAGGACTCTAGCATAAAACGTAGGAAAACAAGTATCCATCTAACAGCCTCGATGATACATAAGAAATATTTTTTTAAATGTTCTTTTTTCTAGAAATTTAAAGGGAAAAAAGTGTTCCCAAAAATCCTTATTTTTATAATTATATATTTTATATATGTTGAAGATTAAGATTTTACTAAAATTTTTAATGAAAATAATGGGTAACAGAGATTGATATTTCCATTGCCTACTGCTTGATATAAGCATAATTCTGCATAAAGTCGATATATTTACTATGCCCAAATCAAAACAAAGCAGCTATTGTTAATGCTGCATATAAAACACTTAAAATATTAGACTTATATAGGGTGATTCTAAATTACTTTTTCAAATTAAGAGGAGTTAATACTCATCCAGATGAGCAATAAATTACCATAGAACATAGGGTAGCATTCCACTCTGAGAGGCAGAAAAGAAGAATATTAGAATTCCAAGCTGAACATACAACAGTGTTGGGAGAGCGAATGAATGAGACCAAATGTTGCACAATCAGTTTAGTGACAAACTTACAGAGAGTGCACAAAATGGATAAAACCGAAAACTTGGTGTTTGAGGGTTAATTCGAGCTCAGACTTTGATACCAAACACTCAAATGCACATCTTTGGTTGGCAAGGTCTCAGACTCGCAAATGATTGCAACAAGTTAATTATGTAATCAAGGGATGAATATTATCAGCTAACTCCAACGTCCTCTGTATGCCGAGATTAACATGAAAAGCTCATGCAGCATTCCGACTGTCAGAACTTCATGTCCCATAGAAGGGTGCTTCAAGTAGAATGAGTGCAGCACAGTAAGTCCAGGAAGACAGGATAGAAGATAGTTAAGAGGAAAACAACTGCTACCTTGATACTTGATATCAAAGTAGTTTCCCCCCCCCCAATAATTTAGATAATTAACTTGATGGAATCATTTACGAGGTTGAGACCTTGCTAACCAAAGATGTGCATTTAAGTGTTAGCTATCAAAGTCTCAGCTGTAATTAACACTTGAACGCCAAGTTTTTGGTTTTATCCGTTTTGTGCACTCTCTGTGAGTTTGTCACTAAGCTGATTGTGCAACATTTGATCTTGTTCATTTGCTCTCCCAACACTATTTTAAGTTCAGATTGGAATTCTAATATTCTTTTTTTCTGCCTCTCAGAGTGGAATGCGACCCTATAGTCTATGGTAATTATTGCTCATCTGGATAAGTACTATCACTCCTCTTAATTTGTAAAAGTAATTTAGAATCACCCTATAGAAATAATTCTAAAAAAGAAAGCAATGTAAACACTGAAATTGTATAGAAAGAATTCTAAAAAATTCACAAATGTATGAAATGTGTAATCAGTTTAGTGACAAAGCTACTGTTCTGAAGTTCCTCTCTTCCAGTACATATGCAGCTCCAATAGCAACCAATATTTTAAATTTTTTTGAATTCAACTGATTCTTTGTCAATTCTAATAATACATTCACTACAGACAACCATAACTGATGAGTATTAAAAAATTGTGGACAATAATTCTTAAATAGGTATAGCGTTCTTTGTCAATAGACTATTTCAGTAGTGAAGTTTGTAATTATACTTTAGTAGCTCTGTATCATTGATGCACACTTGAAAGGAATTAAATGAGTAACCCCAGTTTTGCTAGCACTTCAAGATATATTGTGAAATAATTATGGTTCAAAAATGTTATAGGAATTTATGGATTCATAAAATTAAGGAAATGTTTTAAGTATGAATAATATTGTTTTTGTTTTAGGATTTACATATACTTAATTATATACTATATTTACTATATAATACATTTTGCAATAAGTCAGATATGTGAAAAATGAGGTATAAATGGATTTCGATACTTACAAGGTACAATGTCTTTATATCTGTTTTTTGGGCGATTTATATCCTTCAAACCATAAGAGCAGGAGAAATCACCATTTTCTTTTAATGTATCAGTTAATTTTTTAAGTTGCTGTAAGATAAAATAAATTAAATATTAGGCTTAAAATTTTATAGTAATATCATAAAAAGAAAAATATAATTCAGGTTAATTAACAAACAGTTTAATATCTGTTTGTTTGAAATTAGCAAATCCACTTAAATTTACAATACCAATGATAAAAGAACAGTATGACTTCCAAATGCAATAAAATACAAATCACATATGAGAATAATAATACATTACTAATTACCAAAATTTTTCCCTATACTTTACAGACATATCTTACCAATTAGCATTTCCCATGTATGACCAAAGCCAATATAGTTAATGAATAATCAAATCTTATTTTGCTACATTTTTTACAAGAGAAATATGTTTTTTAACTGCAGTTTTGTACACATAAAGTATGTTGCTTTGACACTACTTGCATTCGTTTATAGAATATAATGGCATGTATACATTTATCTGCCCCTTCTAATAAAAACACAAGTAACCCCCCCCAAAAAAAACGATTTACATTTTAAGAGTTTAAACTGTTTATCATGTTCTAGTCCGTGTCTCTATGACATCAAAGAAAAAAAAAAAAAAAAAAAAAGAGGAGAGATGCAAGATAATCAAATAATCTCTTTTTAAATAGAGACATATATTTAAACTGCAACTGTACTTATATTTAAATAAATATTTATATGTATGGGATAGACATAGATATCAGCATATCTTTCATACAATAAAGAAAAACCTTTAGGCATTAGAAACATCTTTTGTTAATTATAATAATGATGCAAAAGCTTATTCAAAGTATTAATTAGACATAATATAAATCACACAAATAACATGTATTACAAATTACATCAATGAGAGATATTGCTAAGAAACAAAATAAAAGATATCATAGTTGCCAACCAAGAATTACAAAAAACTGGCCAGCTCTTGCCATGAAAACCATGAGTTTTTCATACTGCATACTGACACCATTTTAAAAGAATCAAAATGGATTAAAATTAACTTTAAAGTGCAATTCAGGTTATTAAACTATTTATAATATGATTCTAGTGCAAAATATATTACTGTTTAATTACATAGTCTAATTTATGTTCTCTGGCAAATTTCCTTTTGCAATTTTTCTTACACTTTTGAGAATATCCTGAATAGGAAAGGAAAACTTTTGTTTGTCTATGTTGAAAATAAAATTAATAATTAATGCACATGGAAAAATTACTGTGTAGATAAACTAATATACTGTAATATTGATGAAAAACAGAATTAATACAAATATTATTTTATTAAACATAAATTGAATTTTAATAAAGGTCCCACAAATGTCTACAGTAGATTAAGATAATTTAGATCAAATAAAATTTAATGAAAAGAATTATGTTGAAAATTATTAAGGCTATAGGAATGATATTTGGGTACGTACATATCAGAACAACCACCTTGGCACAATTTATCAAATTTTACAGAGAGAAAAATCAATGACTTATTGATTTTAAAAAATTACATATATATATACATATTTTGCTTTTCAACTATGTATTTGTGTCAAAAAATCAATAAACTTTTCATAAATATGCATTTGTTTCTTTGTTCTGGTAGAAATCGTTTTGAGAAGAGATTTGAAGTACTGTTGCTTTAGCAATTTTATGGCAAAATAATGTATCCTGCAAAAATTTTACCCAACTTTCTTCTTTATTTTGGTAACTTGGTATTATTTTGGTATTATGAAACTTTATTTTGGTAAACATATGTTTTGGCAATGTAATTTAAGATAGTGTAATCAGCAAGTGGGACTTAGAAAAGACAACTGGTTTGAAGGAAGCAGAATTCCATTTTGTTCAGCTTTGAGATTCATATACTGCTGGTGCGGGGAGTTGACGTCGATTAAATTTTGTGAAAAGCAACTTGATTTATCGGATAAAACTGTTATAGAATGGAACAATTACATGCGTGAATTATGTGTCTTGAATATGGAGAATAAACCAAACAAGAAGGTAGGTGGACCAGACTGCATTGTGTAAATTGATGAAAGTTTGTTTACTAAGCGTAAAAATAATTGTATTCGAGTATTACACAAACATTGGGTTTTTGGTGATATATGTAGAGAAACAAAAGATTCGTTTGTTGTTACTGTTCCTAATAGAACTGGCTCTATCCTTCTTAATAAAATTACTGAAAACATTGCAGATGGTAGCACAATTTATTCTGACAGTTGGAAAGGTTACCATACAAATAGAATTGAAAAAGAAGGATTCCTAGATTCCTACATGCTAAAGTTAATCATGAATACAATTTTATTGATCCTGATACAGGAGTTCATACACAAACAGTTGACAGAATGTAGAGCAGTGCCTAGAGACTGTTTTGAATCTATGTTAATCTATATATCTCTATATCAGCCCGTTTTCCACCAAAATCCGATTGACTACTTGAGCCACCAGCGGCCGAGCGGTAAAGTCGCAGAACACTGGTAGTTCGGTCCGAGGTTCGAATCCCGCAAACGGGCTGGCTGCATGGGTGTTTTCGTGGTTTTCCCCAAGTTTAACGTGTATACGAGCCAGTTTCCCTTAGAAAGTCCTCCACGAAGGCATCCCTCCCCTTAGGCAGATAGCCCTCGAGGCTTTGCCGTAATTAAATAACCTAATAACTTAACCGATTGACTACTTTGATTTTAAAAAAAGAGTTTTGATTTTAAATAAAGTGTTTTAATTTATGATTTGGCGCAAAAATTTTATGTGTAGATTGGCGGCACTTAAAAACCGCCATATCTACAGCTGCAGTGGCATTAATACGTAAGTACCGAACAGGGTAAATTTAAAATGACTATTAAATCAATGCTTTAATCATTTAATGGTTAAAATATTTATCAAATACTTTTAGTATTTACTTGATAGCTATTTTTCATTACTTCAAAAGATGGAAAAATTTATTTGCTTGTAAATAAATGGATTATTTATTTGCTTGTAAATAAATAAATAAAGATGGAAAAATTTATTTGCTTGCCAATTCTTGTAAGAAAAAAATATGAAACTCATGCACTGCATTAACCATCTCTAGAAATTCATAAACAGAGTGGATAAAATTAACATTAATAGCAAAGTACTATTTTAAATAGCTTTGACTAAAAATACACATAAGTATCAAATAAACAAATTCAACCTCTTTTCCATATTTTCAATTAAAGAAAATATTCTTGTGGTAAAACTACTTCATCATAATTATGAATTTTGACATCCAATTAAATTATTTTTATCTTTGGTTCCGGAAAAGGGAAAATAAGTATAAATTCCCAATTACACTGGTTTCTAAGTGAAGTATGTTCATTTTCTAAAATAATGATTTGCATAATAAAATCATTCAGATCTGTAGTTAAAATTAACATTGATTAATAATATATACAAAGGCTGTTCACACATTTTTTAAGACGATTTTCATTGTGTTTACAGAAATATTTTACCAAAAATTTTGCGTTTTAAATGTTCCATTTGATAACTCTTAACTTCACTATCTTACACTGTAATTTCCAAGACAATAAAAGCTTTTTAGTATCGAAAGATTCTGGTTTATCCCATTCCTGATGAACAGTCTTAAAGAGTCCAAGGAGGATTGTAGGTCGACGTTTGGACAATTTGCTTTTTAAAAGTCCAAAAACGCAAACATCCGTGGATCATACATCAGATTAGGATTAGGAGATTAAGAGGGATATGATTGAAGGGTATGGCTTTGAAACACATTTCTTGTTCCATTTTTTCCAGGAATTTACGAACAGATTTTGAAGTGTGGCTACTTGTTTTGTCTTGATGCAGTTCTACTGGTTGATGGCACTGTGGGTAAAGAAAAGTATTTCATGTTTTAGAATTAGGTATAAAATATGTTCCTGATAATATGCGGAGTTCACCTTAACAGTTTTCTGAACTGTCTTTAATTTTTATTCGTAGATATATCATGAACCAGCAACAATCATAAATCCCTTTGAAAAACTTTAAAATAATAAATTCTATCCCCCCCCCTCTTCTCTTTGATGATAAGAAACGGATTTCCTTTTATTGCGGTCATTTAAGCAGAGCAAGACTCATCAACATTTTTCCATTTCTGTTCGAATAATTGTTTTTCATAAAGAATTCTGCAGCGCGTTCTGCTTTCGGCGATATGTCGTGGAGAAAGACGATGCACATTCCTTTTTGTTTCATCTTTTTGAGATTCAGATCAGCATTAATCATTTTTTTTTTACAGTTGACTTTATTGATTATGCAACTATACTTCGCGGACTTTCTTTTAACATTGAAAAGTTCTTACCTTTGCAACATTCGAAACATTACGTTTTTTCCATGGATATGTATTTTGAACAATTTTTCTCCTTAAAGGCTAACTTTTTTTTTTCTTATTATTGACAATATCATCTATCGTTGCTTTAGATACCGGAAAATCATGGCTTTCACAGCATTTTTTAATAATAACTAGATACGAATAATTTTCTTCGGAAAGAGCACAAACATAGCCTTCGCACACTGCTTCTTTAAAGCGCCATTTTGCATAAAAATAAAATTGTCAGATGATAATTTATACTTTTTAAAATATAGCTGCAGTTAAAAAAAATTTACAAGCAGGCGATTTTTTTATAACAATGCAAAGTCGCCTAAAAAATGTACGAACTTAGTACTTTGGAATCAGAAGCCTTAGTACTTTGGAATCAGAAGACAGACACAGAAACGAAGTATCTAATCTTTTTCTAATGTTCGGCATTTTTAATTACTTTAGAATTCATGGATATATTAAGATTATTGATTATTTTCTTTTGGAAGGAGAAGATAATACGTAACATTTGGTTAACACAGAATACATTACTCATGTTTTCTAAATCCCAGAAAGAAAAGTGAGAAAAAATAGCAATAGCAACCACACACAATGTTAAAAAAAAAAAAAAAAATTAAATAAAAACCCCTTTGTTAACATGATGTATTTTAAACTGCAAACAAGATCTCAAATAATTGAAGAGAATTAGCTCATGGGAAAAAAGATTAAAAGATGGCCGG